GTTGTTACAACCTGCACAACTAGCTCATTTAATTACAAAGATCACAGCTGGATCTCTGAGATGCCTTTCGTCACAGCAGTCCTGTAAACTGACATGAATAAACGCGGCCTATGCAGACCCTCCATTTACAGGACTGTAGTGACTCAAGATGGTGAGGGCATCTATGAGAGGAACAGACTGAAAAAAGAAGAGATATCTCTGGCTACAAGATATTGGGCCATGTAGCTTACACTAGCTGGTATCCTTTCTTTTATTCAGCACCTGGTAGATAGAGGCACAAGGTTGGTGTGCGTTTCACTTCATGTGTTGTATGACATTGCACACCGTTTCATAGTTTTGCAGTAGTTATGAATTAGGCTGTGTAAGTTAGCCAAATTGCTATTGTTCATCCTAAAGCACATGTATGTTTTGTTTACATTAACGTAAGGGAACAGAAACGTGAACATTAAAATATTTCATTTGAATAAATAAGATTATTTTGAGCACTCATTTCATAAATGGAAATAACTTACAATAAATAGTAACTAATTCTCTGGAGCAAACATAAAATTGTATGCCGCCTTAAGTCTAACATATGACAAGATGGTAATTATTTTTGTTTTCTCTTTCTGTTAACTTTTACAGTGTGTTCATGGTGCATAAAGTGAACTACGAAACCATCAGTTTCAGAGTAAGCCCATTATTCAAACTGGGATGCTGCAATATGGCCTAAATCTTCAATCACGGTATATGTATTTTACATCACGATAACGGTATATAACACAATACGGTAATTGTTCTGTAAATTAAAATTAGAAGAGGGTTTAAAACTGGGAAAGAGTAGAATAGAATAGAAGCCTGGGACTTTAGATTTGGACTGGCCCACCAAAACCCATCTGGAGACACACACTGTCACATACAGCATGTGTCACACTTTAAAAGAATCCTGTAGTGAACAGAGGATATACTTATTATGATGATTTGTAGAACAACTGGAACATTAAACTATTTCTCTTTCCACTCTCCTCTGTATAAGTTAGTAGTTATGGAGAGTGTGACATTAGAGTTCCCACTGGACAGTACAGGAGTAAATACAGCAACAGACATATTTAAATTTTTGTACTTTCTCTCCCTTCATTTACGGATCTTTCCGTAATATGTTTCTGTAGATCTGAGCTAATCACACACACTTTGACTAGTTAAATAAGGACATTACAATTTTTACATGAAACAAGAGCAGAAAAAGGAAAAGAAGCTATAACATTATCCTGTTAAATACATCAGATTCTTGTTTTATTGTTTATTTGACTTAAAACTCACTGTGAGCTGTGGTCCTGAACTCACTCTGCTGCTCTGCTCCTGCAGTGTTACTGCTGATAGACATACTATTTGAAGCATTCGGATTTTCTAAATTTGAACTTCTTCTCTGTGAGTTTTTCAGCCATTGTTTGTTTTTTAACAGTTATTCCTGTAAAGTAAGTCAGCAACGACCTTCTGGAAGTTTCTCCCATCTCAACACGGGATCTCTGGAGCTAAACCCAAGTGACTGCCAGGTTCTCGGTCACATCTCTTACTAGGGCCCTTCACCACCAATTGCTCTGTTAAGCCAACGTCCAGCTCCTGGTTGTTCTAAACTTCTTCCATTAAACAATAATGGACGTCCCCGTCCTCTTCGGAACTGTCAATGCAGCCAAAATTTTTTGTACCCTTCCTCAGATCTGAGCCTTCACACTGTGTCCCTGAGCTCTGCAGGCTCTCCATCCTCCTCATGGTTTCTGCTCTGATCTGCATTGTCAGGTGTGAGATCTTATATAGACAGGTGTGTGTCTTTGCACAATATGTCCAGTCAGCTGAGTTTACCACAGGTGGACTCCATTCAAGATGTAGAAGCATCTCAAAGATGATCAACAGGAACCTGAGCTAAATTTCAAGTGCCATAACAAAGGGTCTGAATTCTTATGTCAATGTCAGTTTTTCCTTTTTAATAAATTTGAAAAAAATTCAAAAATTCAGTTTTCACTTTGTCATTATGGTGTATTGAGTGTAGACTCAGTATTGAAAACTTTCTGAATGCACTGTAGATGTGTCACATTTTAGTCATTTTGCAATTGCCAAGGAAAATAAACGCTTGCCTCACAGTTTTATAACAGGAAAATGTGTTTACAATTCAGCCTATAAAGTGCACTTTACACAAGGAAACAATAGCACTGCTCATTTGTTGAATGCAGAACAAATTTAAGTTCCCAGGATAAACACTGAAAAGCACTTTACACAACATTCATGTTTAAACGTTGTAACTGAACCATAAAAAATAAAATCGAAATGAATCAATTGCGGACTTTGTGAAATAAAATCAAATTGAATCAGAAGATTGGTGTCGATATCAAGCCATAATTAAGACAATGCTAACCAACAAAAGAATGGTTTTGTTTGGGGTCATCTCTGTTTCAATTAAATAATAATCTAATGTAGGCATGTCATTCTTAAAAGAACTGACCACCATGTGAAATTAACTGCGCTTAAATTTCCTAAGCACCATTATTCCTAGAGCTGGAGCTTTGAACTAAAGATGACAGGTGGATCAAAAGCCGTCTCCTCGCCAGATCTTGTTCTCAGGGAGGTCGAGGTCACTAGCAAGCAGCCTCTAGTGCATCAGACAGAGACATGAGTTCTGATGAAGCTCTTTTTGTTTGTTTTTTTTAGTTTCTGATGATGTTCAGTGGATGATTAACAGAGCCCAAACTCAAAGCATAATTAAGCGTCTATGGGCCAGCTGTGCAACGCCAGTCCTGACACGCTTTTGCTGTCAGATCTAATAGCACAATCTCACATTTCTGAAGGAAAAAGACTATTAACTAGCCACATCAAAAGGACACATCAGAGTGTGTGAGGAAGAAAGAGGGATAAAAAGAGAACAAACAGGATAACAGAGGGGTGAAATGACTGTTAGCTCTCCTGCGATCCTCTGCTAACGACAAAATACAGAATGACAGAAACTGTGCAGTGAGGTTGTGGAGTTGAAGTAAGGGTTAGTTTCTTTAGTATGACCTTAAATCACACTCTTTCCACAAATTCAAATGTCCGTTTGGTTAAAAAACAGCAGATTCAAAGTCAAGCCAGTTACACACTTACAACAGTTAGGCAAGATGAGCTACTTCCCATTCACCAGTGCAAATGCACACAGTGGCACGCACACACGTACACTCCAGGGTTTCCCCTGCAATACATGAAGTGAAGCAGACTGCCCTGCAGTAATCACTACTTGAAAACTGATTTGATATAAAAAAAAAAAGAAGAAAAAAAATCAATAGAAAATGCATTGTGTGCCATCTTGTTATCCAATTAAAATAATGTATATATAAATTAATTAATTAATTAAAATAATTAAAATTAGTCAGGTGTGAAATTCATAACAAATATTACCTGACCTTAAACATATTGCATCATCTGATCACGTCCCGCAGGATAAACACTGACAGGCCCACGCACACACACACATACACTTCACACATCTGCAAATAATGCTGTCAGTCTGATAGCAAAGGGAGATTGATAGAACAATGAAGTAGAGTATGAATAAATTTTACTCCATGTCATGCCATGTTAGTCTCTCAGACATCGACGTAAACTGAAGGATTCTTGCCTAGCCAGAGCTTTCAAGCCTCCTCTTATATTCAGCAGACAGACATGAAGCTGGCAGTTTAATCCACAAGGCTTTCAGTGATGCAATGCAGGCTTGGGCTATGCAACAGTCCCTTGGTGTACAAATAAAAACCTTGGACAATTTCTGGCATAAGCGACACCGGTACAGGTTTTGATATGAAATGCAAACAATATGATAGTCAGCGCTGGTTAGGCAGAGCGCTGGCCTGGTTAATCTGAGGTGCTTCAGCATCTGACTGTTTAGCTAAAGCCCCCTTACACCTTATCTTGCAGCAAAGTCTGCTAACCTAACTGTTCAACTCTTAGCTGCTGCCTGGCTGTACTAATGTCTGAGAACGGTGTGAAGAAATCCTTTTCACATTTCAAGTAAATCCAGCAGCATATACCCCAACCACACCAACGATGCACAAAACATTCAAGGTGAGTTTTATGGAAATGAGATATTCAAAGCCATGTGTGTGAATCTGAAAACTGAAATTTTTCATGTAGAATAAGCAGCACATTTCGGTTTAAGGACAAACAACAGTTCCAACTTTATAAACTTTATGAGGGTACAAAGGAAATGTCAAACCAAAGAGCCAGCAAGAATAATGTGCAGGAAAGGTGCAATATGACTAAGACCCATGATATGCACCTATTGAAATAGGTGCATGGCACATGGCTGTCACACAGACTATATAAATCATGGCAGACGTTGATTTGCGGGTAAACAGAGGAGAAATCTGTGTTAGATGGACTTCGGCCAGTTACCTCGTGGCTGCTTCTTTCCGGGTTCAACTCGCGTCAGATGAAGCTGTCACTATTGTCCTCATTTACTCTGCTGGGATAGTCCCACCCCCTCCACTGGCTGTTAATTGTTGCACTTCATAATTAACTACAAAAAATAGGTTATGGCTTAATGTGAGCTCAAGTGACGTTAAGTGACGTATTTTTAATCAGCACAATGGTCGTTGATAAACCTCATGTAATTGGAGTAGTAGACATAGAGTAGTTAAGTCCAAGATGACTCAATGTAATTATTAGTGGTTACCACTGGAATAATTTATAACCATAATATTGGTCGGTATATCATGAAGGGTTTGAAGTTCTCGGTGGACAAACCAAAAAGCGAGGACGTCCTGTTTGTGAGTTTCGGCGCGTTATAACTTGTACCACAAACATGTTTTAAAAGAAACTTCCCCACAATGCCGCCGGGGCTCACTGTCCATTTGTAGCAGCCTTAACAGCTCAGAGCAGCTCGGTGTGTGTGTGTGTGTGTGTGTGTGTGTGTGTGTGTGTGTGTGTGTGTGTGTGTGTGTGTGTGTGTGTGTGTGTGTGCGTGTGTGCGCGTGTGTGTTTGTGGAGGGAAACAAGCTCACCAGGGGTCAAACTCGTGAATGATGCTCTCGAACCGAATGACAGCGAAGAGCCTGGAGCTGAAACCGGCCAGCCACGCCAGGAATAGGATGGTGAAAGACAGCAGGGACTGCCACCCGGCCGGCTGCGACAGGCCGCCGGACAGACCTCCTCCTCCTCCGCCTCCTCCTCCTGTGCCGGCGTTACCGTCTCTGTCCGCCGCCGCCGTGCTGCTGCGCCCATTCCCAGAGTACGACGCGCCGGAGTTCAATGAGGATTTGTGTTTGTTGTCGGGTACCGACTGATGCTCCGCCATATTCTACGTCAGTCCCGTCGAAGCGAGCAAGCGAAGCAAGCTATCTGGTATCACACAGGAAAAACACCCCCCTCCCCACCCCCCCTCCTTTTCTCTGCCACGCTCCACTTCCGAAACCACTTGCACCACCTTCCCTACGCGTCTCGCGCCCCTCAAAAACACCGACTGTGATTCCAGACCTTTGAATCTTACTTCCGACCGACCTCAAAACCAGCTAAATAATACCAGAGAGTCACGCATCGGCGCGGTTTTGCTGCATACTGGAAGTGATAACGTGCGTTTCGAGTAGTTCCCCCTTCCTTCCTTGGAGCAGAATGAAGGGGCGGGAGCAGCGCGTGGAGCAGGAAGAGCTGTCAGCCTCTCACAGCGAGACAGGTACAACCAAGAGGTACATAGCTCCAGGAGAAGCCCAATCCCAGGACACAGCGCGCTTGACAGACAACCTAAAGGACCAATGAAAGAAGAGCAACCTGACCACTGACGACTAGCGCGAGAGAGTGGTGAGAAGCTGAGCCCATATGCAGTCAAGTCAAGTCTGACACATCCTGCTTCCCGTAGCGTGAAGAGCTCAGTACATCCTGTGTACACAGCAGTCCTTTAGGTATTGTATCAACATATTAATCATTGCGTAGAACTGCGGAAAGTTCTGATTTATCTTTGTTGATTTATTTCTTTTGAATTAAATATATATATATGTAATAATATATAATATATATATACATACGTATATAGTATACTATATAAAAAGACGAATGCTTACAGTAATCTAAGTAATATTTTATGAAAACATTGAGCATTGAGAGCAATGCCTTAAGGTGTGAATACAGCGAACACCTGCTAGAGCAACAATTTTAGAGAGATAACAAATTTTATTATTTCTGTTTTATTGACAACCATAGACCTGAGAATACTGTCAAAACAAGACTAGGTCAAAACTTAGTACATGTCTCGACTGCCTATGGTCAAATCCTGATTTTATAGCTGTGAAAATCAACAAACACAAAGAAGACAAAGACTGAGCTGTGGTTTCAGCTGTATAGGAGACTTTCTTTTTTTTAAGTTATTTTTGCCTTTATTTCAGTCACAGTCTGAGAAAGACTAGAAAATTGAGGAGTAAGAGAGAGGATGACAAGCAAAGGGCCTCAGGCTGGACTGAAACCCAGGCTACCAGGGAAGGACTAAGCCCAAATGGCTCACGCTCAACCAGGTGAACCACTGGGGCGCCTCAAAACAGACTATCTTCCTTATTTAGTCTTTCACACAGAGCACAGCCTCCACAATAGTTTAGTCTTTATTTACTTCAACTCCAGAACATCACAGACTTTTATGAGAGGCAGGTCTTTATGTCTAACTCCCTCTGTTTGATATGTAGAGTTTAGTTATTCCTTTGCCTCCTTTAGTAATAATGATACATGTAATGAAAGTGGTTTATTTGCTGTAGTGGGAGCGAGGCTCAGTGTATTGGAAGCGCTCCTCCGCTCCCCTTCAGTTCCTGAGCAGCCAGGAAACCAGCAGCTCGGTAGACTACGGATCAATTTGCTGAGCAGTGTTGGAAATATTATCAGTCAGACATTTGAAATTATAGGGCTGGCCCTGCTATTGCGGTCCAAAGCAGGCCAAAAAATTACGTATAAGTGCATTACTTGTTTTACAATGTCAAACTCCTGAACTAAACTCTTTTTGTTGGTGACCTTATGTAAAAAAAAATGAGCTGCCAGAAGGAGGAAAGAGAATTTATTAGAAAAAAATGCAAAAGACGTCATGTGTGTCAGTGAAACCTTAAGCCAATAAGGACAAAGTTCTGTCGTCACAGAAATGGTTCCTAGTCAGTACAACCAGAGGCAAGCAACTGCAGTGCCTGCCAGAAAACTGCAGCCGCCTTGGTCCCGCAAGGTTTTAATGTCATGTGACATGCTGACATTCTGCAGCACCGGTGAAAGTTGGACAGAATTTCTAACCAACATGCATCACATTAAATTAGTGCTGCACAGCGCCACACAAGGCAGAACGCACCTCAAATGTCCGCGCTGTGGACAGGGCTGCGTGACTTGGCTGCAGGGCTGAAGTGCTTTATGACACAGGACTTATGCCCAATTCCCATCAGGCCTTTGTACCTTCCCTTTAGCCACTGTCGTTTGCACGTTCGCGTGGAGGGTCCACCACAGTAAGTGTCACTCCAAACCAATTACCATGAAGTAGGAATGGGTCATAAAGCCCTTCAGCACCGAGTCTGCATTGATGCAGGCTCACAAACCAAACTCCTAGAGAAGTACATCACCACTTTGAGTCCAGGATGGATGAAATGCCACACACCCGCAATTATGAGTTATTTCCAAAAGATAAGTAATAAGTTGCCTTACCTCAAACAGACTATTTACGTGCACACATGACAACATTATAAGGTTACATTGGGTTTTGGAATAAACACACTGTTGTATAACTGAGAAAACTGTGTAGGTTTTTTTTTCTTTGACTTGATTGTCTGTGTTTAACAATTTCAGGAACTATGGAAAAAAATCAAGGATGTAATCAGATCAAGAATGGCAAGGAAAAAAGAATTGTGGCCAAAAAGATATGGAAGTGAATTTTTATTTAAAGTTTGTCAGTGTATTTATTCCCTCACCCTTAATAGAGAGACTCTCCACAGCCAGGAGTGTGAGTCCACACAGAGTTACACTCCGTCATGGAGTGGGAGGGTGTAGTGGCTGGATTGATATTGGGCTTTCAAGACATTGTGTTTCCATGGAGATGAAGTGAAATTTCTGATCCAGTGACTCATTTTAAAGTATTTCTCTGAACAGTTTTTAACGATATTGATATTGGCAACTTAAGTATGATATGTACAGCTCTTCTGCATTATATCGTAGCCATAACAAAAATGGTCAGAATGCACAATAAAACTAAACCTTTACAAGAGCTGCCAAACACAATATTATATCAACATTAAATCCTCAACGGAGGATTCTCACAACACAGATCTACACATTATTACAAATCCATATTTTTCTGTTCTGTAGCCTGTGTGCAATGTGAAGCTTTACTAAATCAATAAATATATACAACAAAAATAAAGAGCACAAATGTCTTCAAAAATGCATATGATGAGCTACATATTATCTATTTTCATCTATTTACATCGTCACATCCATATCACCATAGATTATGGGTAATTTTCCAAGCAAAAAGTGCAGACTTAACCGGTTATGCCTAACCGGTTAAGTCTGCACCCTTAGCAGAGTCTGTGGTAGTCTACAGGAAGTTTGTTTGTGGACTTGCTAATTTGTGAGTTTGGACAGTCTTAATTTCACAAGTCTGCAAGTGTGCTGAAGTCTGGACATTTCCATTCGGCCATAGACAGCAGTTGGCAAGCAGCGGGAAAAAGTAGACCCAAAGGAAATGAATGAATTTCTCAGAAAATACTGAATAAATTGATAGACAAAGAGTCATTATGGCAGGAGCAGGGCTTTATGCTAACATAAGGCCTTGATTGAGGCCAATGGTCACATTGGAGATTGATATCAACATCAAGATATTTGTTGAAATTTACAACAAATTCATGCTGCTGTGAACAACCACATTTGGTTGGACTTTATGATAAATGCCATAAGTTTATACAGGATTTATAAGTTATACTATTGCTGAAGAACAATTAAAGGGGACTTTATAGGGGTACTCCAGAGATTTTGTTTTGCAAGTTGGGGGACTCTCAAGAGACACAGAAAAAGAAAGGTCAAAAAGCAGCAAGGGCTAAGACATTCGGACATGCAGTCACTAATATGGGTCATGGGCCAATCACTAAAATTTTAAACGTGTCATCTTACAATAACTTTAATATTGTCAAGTTGAAATGTAGGGTGTTTGATCTTATTCACAATTAAAAACAAAAAAAGGTTTAATAGAACAGGAGTGAGTATACATGTGATTTCCAGTTAATTGTAAGTGATGTTCATTGATCACTGATGGCACTGTACAGCACTCACTGGTAAACTGATACAATAACAACAGCAGTGAACTCCCTTAGTCATAGTATGGCCAGCACAGCGAAGAACAGTCTTTGAACACAACCACAGCATTCCTGCACCATTCCTTGTGAATATTAACACAAAGTCCACTGCCACGAGTCCCACCAGACAGCCTGTCCAGTTTGATGGCCATTTCCTGAATGTTGCTGTGTAACCATATTTCAATGAAAATAAAGATGCAGCAGTTCTTAATTTCACATTGGATAGTCCATCATACCCAATCTGCCAGTCTCAAGAAGATTCTGGCGGCTGCAGCTGAGCTGCATAAAAGCTGTCAAAAGATCTTTTTTATGACTGTGTGCCGGAAGCAGCCAGAGCCCGAGGCAGAGGCATAAGGATGAACTGATTTGATTTTGTTGGTCAAAGGTGAAAGTTCACGGTCACGGTGATCTCACGTTCTTGTGAATGAAATATATCAGAACATCCAGAGGGAATTTCATGACTTCTGTCACACTGTGACCTCACAAAAAGAGGTTATTAGCCATAACTCACAAATTAATACTAATTATGAGACAATTTAACTGAAATGTCTATAAGAGTAATTTACCATCGAAACACAGGATGCAGTTTGTGGCTAGATGTGTTCCTGCTGCTAGCGCAGAGTCAAACCATAAATGTGTGAACTAAAGTGAAGGTGTCAAAAGCTTTCCTGGTTTCAGTTCTGAGATCACATATCCTGTAGAGATAGATACAAAGTTTGTTTCCTGTTTTAGCTGTCACACAGGCTGCTGTACATACTGTATGTTCACTGATTGTGCAGACGGTCAGATGCGGTTAAAATGTGAGTTTTTTGGTTTCATTGTTCATTGTACAAAAAAAAAGGACGTGTACCATATTGCACCTTAAACTTTTGGAAAATGCAGTTTGTATTGTCATAGATGGCAAATACGGAGCATTGGTTTAGGAAATATCTAATTCTATGAGGATAAAGAACATTTTGTTTTGGTGTGTTGACTACAGCTCATTATATAATTCATTTTCCCACACTATGTGCTATTAAGCTCACCTTCCTCACTATCAGCAAGAAAAGAACCAAACCATTCATTCAGGTTCCTTTCACCCATTCAAATCATAAAGTCTACCTGTGTTCATTTTTACAAATGAGTATTAATAGCAAATAGCAAATAAAAGATGCTTTCTATCATTGAGGATGGTGTTTACTAAACAAGACTTAGTGCACAACTTTGTCTTGAGGCAGGGGTGGAGCATGGGGTGGAGTGGGACACAATTTTACCAGGAAATTCTGAGTTCCAGCAGCCTTGGGAAAGGCATTATAGCTTATCTTGTCCATAAAATTTGTCCTGCATTTTTGCAATATAGTTCTGCAATATTACAGCTTGCCCC